TATATATAATTTTCTTTTTTTTTAACGTATGTGTTAATGTTCACTTGGAATGGACACAAAAGATGTTATCCAGAAATGTTAACCTGTGAGGATAGATATACCAAACCTCCTATTGCCGACTTCGATTTTTTTTTTCTATATACCGGTTTTAGGGTTAACATACAGGTCCTGGCTTTACTACCTAGACAGTCACTTACCTGGAACAAGTACGGAAGATGATATTTTACACTTTACAAGTTTTACTGGCTGCATGTCTGCTCCTGGGCAGTAACCCATTAGGTAGCGAGACCAGGATCAGGATATTGGCCCTGGAACCTGCTGCTTTTTAAAACTAAGTCTGTGTCTCCCATATTTTTGTCCTTCTAGATCTATTTACACTTAGGGCCTGTTCACATGATTTTCAGGTCCTGATCAGGTGCGGATCTGCAGACGTGCTGCTACTCATGCAGTGCGTTTTTTTTATGCGTTTTCGGTCCGGATGATGACGGTTCATTTTTTTTTTTTCCAAGCTGTGGGGCTGTCAGTATGCAGATTCTTCCTCTGAGGTCACTTCCGTCCTCTCATAACATCATCTTCCCTTTGTGTGTGTAAACCACTCACCACATTCTTTCTTCTGGGCACTACTGTACACTGAGTATTCATCATACAGCTCTGATGCTATATCTATCCACTTTTTTTTTTTTTGATGCACATTTTTAAACTGTGTGTGGCGGGGGTCGTAGAGCATTGGCGCATGCTCCATCAATCCGACGAATCGCTCAATGTCCAGGACCATGTTAGTCATGACTGCTGGTTTTCCATCTGATGCTCCACCACAACCAGGAAGTCCAACAATGATGACATCATTAAAAAGTGGAGCAAGAATAAATGTATTTTTTATTGCTTCGCTGCATTGCGTTCCGTTTGTGTTGCGTTTTTGACGCGTTCCTGCGTTTCCTGACCAACAAAATGTGACAGGCAGAATTTTTTCAGTCAGGAACGGAACGGACTGCGCACGTGAGAACTATAGCTCATAAAACACATAGGGATACATTGGGATGCATATATATTATTATTATTATACAGGATTTATTTAGCGCCAACAGTTTGCGCATCACTTTACAAAATAGGGAAGACATTACAATCAACTGCCGGAGATAGCACCTTACCTATTGGGACATTTTGGATCTGAAAACAGAGGTTCCTGGATACCATTAAAGAACTTCGGGAAAGCAGTGAGATTAAGAACTTTCACGGACTAACCATGCGCTGGTGACAGTACCGTTAAAACCGAAAAAGAACCCACGGATTTAAAAAGACAAGAGGGGTAAGAGACGACGAAATGTGAGTACGGTAGACAATTATATAATAATAACTGGTCCCGCACTAGTCTCCCCCTTAAATTCACTGTACACCAAGAGGAACCATATATGATGAAAAATTTGGAGTTTCTTCAGGCATGAATGATTAAGAGGTGTTGTTGTTATATATACACAAAACACTCCAGTAGACTATATGGTCTTAAAGAACCACAATGAAACGAAGAGACTTCCTTACTAACTGAAACCAATAAGTAACCCATACTCGTATGGATCAGGTCAGCACAGAATACGGACGTCATGTGAACAGGCTCTTATTCAAGAAGGGTTGTTCAGCGATCTACCTCCATTAAAATCCCTCCACTAAAATCTTGCTGTGGATCAACAGATGGGTGGTTGGCAGATGCATTTTATTTCTGGTAAAATGTCAGGAGGCATACAACTGCTTTATGAAAGGTTGTTTTAACACCATCTTTTTAGTGAACATATCTATGTGTTTTTGTGTGAAGTCCGCCGGCTTTCCATCACCCATTAGAATGAGACAGCATGGACTCCTCACCTTTCTAAATAGAATATAAGGCCACATTATTATGACCACCTGACGTTTGTAGGCAAATTAGCTTTAATTTCGTGCTGAAGTTGCTAGAGTTGCTCGGTCTGAGTACATCATATCATTTATATCTACTGAAATGAGTGTTCTCAGGAGTGTTGTGCAGAGAACACTCTGAACGACATGGCAGGTTCCACACCGCACACTACATTTTATGGTTTATATGAAAAATAGATGCACAATGTGTAGTATTTACTGCTTTTGTATGCTCTCCATTAGAAATGAGTGTCCCTTCATTTTAAATGTCCCTTATGCCAAGCAGTCTTGCTTTGCCTAGTGTTATAAAGGCTAACTTAAGCTTCTGTATGCATTTTTTCCTTTTCTGACACAGTGAAAATGCAGTTTGGCATCCCCTGCATCCCTTTAGAAATGCTATGTTTTTGCAGGAATGTGCTGTAAAACAGATAATTCGCATATATTGCAGTATAGGTAAATGAAAGAGAGCTAAGATTTCTGCATACATATAAAAAAAAAAATACACAAAAATATATCTCCTAGAGTTGGAAACTGCATTAGAATCACATAGTCCCTGTATAAGGGGATTAGAAGTATGCTCTTTTACAATCTTTGAAACATGGTAGGTGATACTTCAGTTAGAGACTCCTGACATTCAACCAAAATGTGTAAATTACGAGGCATAACTTCCTTTTCCAGCCTCTGTCTTGTCTTGTCTTTGAGGGCCCATTCACACCACATCCAGACCATGACTAGATTGTTTCCGGACCGAAAATGCATCCCAATATATCCCTATGCTATTTCTGGCCTCTGTTCACAGCAGTGCAGTCCGTTGCAGACCAGAAAAATAATGCACATCTTATTTTGCCTGGTCTGGAATGCATGTAAACGCATAACAAATGAATATGAACACACTGGAACGCACCTGGAAGCCCATTGTAAGCTAAAAAAAAAAGGCAAAAAACCCCAGCTCCGGAATGCGGCAAAAACTCAGCAAAACACAATGCACTGCGTTCCAGATCTGGTCCGGAAAATGGTGTGAACCTGCCCTTAGGCTAAAGCTGACCATATACTTATAGATTTTCGATCGGGAATTTTCTGCCAAGAAGTCTTTCGATTCTATCTCAAATAGCCCATCAAGCACAGACCAATGTCGATTTAAATTACCGTTCGTTGGCAATACTAACTCACCAAATTTTGTCGCTCGACAGAACAGATTTTCGTTTGCGATTGTGCAGTGTTCTTGCTGCAATTTTTTTTCCCCCTACAAAAACGCCACTAATCCATCAATTTTCATACAATTCGAAAAGTTTTCCAGCCGGACCGACCTTGGAAATTCGGACAGGAGTACAGTAATTAAAATCATTGGTGTCCCATCAACTGATCGATTATCGTTCAAAAGACCATTCGTGGACAATTTCGATAGGTGTTTGGGCACCTCAATGAAGAGACCATATCTGTACAGTCCTTCACTGTCATTAGGTTCAGAGTTTAAGCAAAACAAAAAAATCTTATTCAACCAACCAATTTGAATTTAATTAAATATTGGATTTGAATGAAAATAACGTTTAAAGTGTTTGGATAATATGCAAAATAAAACATGCAGTACATCTCTGCAATCCATGTACACTTTTCCATGTTTTATCCCTTTTAAAATGCAGCAAGTACAGAAAAATACCCTTTGATCCTGTAGGGAGATAACCAGAATGCACATGCTTTTTTTTGTTCTTCAAATCTTTTTCCTTAATTTGACACAATCCCTGTAACAAAGGCTTTGATCTATAATAAACTGGGATTTTAGGTTACAAGTAATGTGTGGGGTTTGCTGTGAACCCAGATTGCATGTGTTCGCACAAGCCCTTACGAAACTGTGACTGACACACATCCCCTCCTGGCCCAATCAGTTGGGACAGGGGATTTCCCTGCCCCTTTCTGATGTGTAGCTGCAGGGCAGGGAATGTCCCTGCTGCAACTGATTGGTCCGGGAAGGGGATGTCGGTCTCAGTTTTGTTTGGACTTGGGTGAACTGAGTTCGGCCCAAGTCCCCACTTAACACTAGTTACAAGAGGGAGTACCTGCACTAGCTGCTGGAATATGAGAGGGAAGGGGAGCAACGAGTGAAACAAATTACTCGCTTTGACAGTTTTGTGTTTTATGCACTAGTAGGTGGGTGGGGGTTGTATTCAGGAAGCCTCCGAGGTCAGTCTTGTTTCAGGTATGGAATTGAGACCTCATAGAGAATGATTGTAGGCTCAGAAAGCAGAGTATCAGTGTTTAGAATAAAGCAGGTATAGTATAACACAGAAAGAATAAAGGACTGGCTGCATGGCAAAATAAAAGGTGTTACTTGTAAGCATATTTAATCTTTTTGATTGTTTACGGACGATCCTCTTTAATATTTTTTTTTGTTTCTAAACCCAGCAAAGGTGCAGCTTCATAGAGCTAACATGCCCGCATATTCCCACACTCCCTAATCCGTAATGTGCGCTCTGTTTCTTTCATCCGTTGAGCAGCTCTTCACCAGTCATTCACGTGGCAAAGTTCTGAAATGAAAACACATTTTGTAGTCTGCACTTGTTCCTTTCAAAGTAACACATAATTGCTTTTTTTCTTCAGATTACTCCCACTGAACTCTCAGAGAAAGCTTTCTGGACACGAGCAAAAGAAGACAGGTTTGAAAAAGATGAGCTGTTTGCAAAGATTACCCTTACCTTCTCTTCACAGACCAAGTGTGAGTGATCTGCTGTGTTTTCGGTTTCTTTTTTTTTTTTTCCTTCTTTGAGGCTGGCATTGTTTGCCATTTCATTGAGAGGTATCAATCTAACTTGTGTTAGGTGCAGATTGCACCATCTCAGTTCATCTGTCTTATGAGACCATTTGTTTAAAGTGAATTGGTCACATTTGGGCTTATCCAAAAATCGAAATATTCAACATCTGCAGGCTCACCAGTGAAAGATGCATGTTTGCACAAATGTTTAGCTAAAACCTACTGCTGGGAATCGGAAAAGGACACTGACCATACAGTCTACATCCTAGACCTCATGCTAAGTGTGCCTAACGGTATCGTATAACTAAGTCCTATAATTGTTTATGTTCTCCCTGAAGTGACTCCTTTGCTGGGTCAAAAAGTATAAGAGCAGGAACCAGAATTGGTGTTTATGCTTAGCTATCCCACTGTCTGTTCTTAGCTCTGTTCAAAAGCTACAGCCGCTCAAATAATCTTTACATTCAACACGTCTACACCTCCTCAGGGTTGCTGTGGTTTCTTCCAATGGCCCTTACACTACTGCTGTGTCCTAGAGTGCTATAGACACACAAAAAGATACCTTGTCGCACTCTTTACCGGAAAAAAAAGTGACCTGCGGATGGCGCTGCAACACAGCATAAAGATGAATAAATGTCACCAGCACACAACCAGTATTGCAGTCCAAAGAGTTTGTTTATTGGAACGTCATGTCACCAAAACTAGCGCCTTCATTAGGCTCAGCAATGACGGTGACATGGCGTTCCAATAAACAAACTCTTTGGACTGCAATACTGGTTGTGTGCTGGTGACATCTATTCATCTCTAGAGTGTTATAGGGGACAGTGAAAGGAACTACAAAGTAGTGGTGGACCGGACATCTGACACTCCAGCAACTGTGTTCGATGTAAAGTTGCTGTTGCTAGGTGATGGAGCATGTCAGAGAAATGGGTGGTGGGACAGGAGAGTATAAACAGTCTTCATTTTCAGGTACTGCTTTTTTATATTTGTTTTTTTATCCCAGCGACAGAATTGGCCGTGTAAGTACAACGGCTGGCCGGGAGGCAGTTAAAGAACAAGTGCTCTAATTCTTTTTGGCCCCTCCCCTGACTTGTTAAATTCCATCCTCCCCCTCCACAGATGCATACTTGGCAAGATCCCGCATTTGGGGCCTCCCATATTTACTCACATCCCACTTTGAAGTTATCGAGACACCCCATTCAACAAATTCGTTTTTTCAATGACTTTCGTCATAGGTGACAGTCTGAAAATTCTCGGTCAAACTGACTACAGCCAATCAGCTGCAGTTGCTATTTAGGTATTCTGACATTGGCACACCTGCTGCTGCCAAAATACATTGGCTGGCCGGGAAATTCCCCTCACCCATGCAGTTTATGGTGAATGGTGGAATCCAGCATCTTTTCCGTTCAGCCCGCGGGTTGAATTAGATAAATCAGCCAGTGTATGGCTAGCCTTATGGCTAGCATTATCTGCAGATTTTCTGTGGTCAGATGGAAAAGGTGCAACAGATTCCTCCATCTACACTTAACTGTGTGGAAGGAGTAATCTCCACCTGGGCCAAACTGTTGCACTTTTTCCATCTGACCACAGAAAATCTGCAGATAAATTGTAAGGTGTATGGGCACCTTTAGAAGAGGGATGAATCAACACAAAGACCTGTTCATGTTACTACACTTAATATTGTATTTTGTTTTTCTTTTTTTTGTTTGTTTTTGTTCTGTGTTTTTTTTTGCAACCATTTTAATACTTCCACATTTGCTTTGGTAAAGGAATTCTGATCTGAGAACAAGATCAGAATTTTAGCCTACAAAGTTTTATTTTATTTTATGCAGAATTTGCAATTTGCTGTGTTTCTAAGAACATGTGTCAAGGGTCATCTGCTATTTTCTTCTTTCTGGCCCTTTGTTACATCACCACCCATAAATTTGTTATTGTGTATATCCACTGACGGACAGCAGTAGGTTATATATTCATTAGTATATAATATTTTCCACTTTCTACAGCTTTAAACATCAGAGATTTTTAGCTTGCCTTAAGATACTGATTAATGGAGCCTTTCATCTTTAATTTCACTTTACCACAATTATTTATTAATTTCATATTTTCTGTGCTCTGTTGTTGGAAGCATTTTAAAGAAAAAAAATAAATGAGAAAAATGAAGTTCTTTTCTGTAATTAGAGCAGGTTTCAACTGGTGGCCTCCAAATACTTGAAATGTTGACTGCATAACCGAAACCCTGCTCGCACCAAGTGATAGTTATTGATAGTTGATAGTTATTGGTTGTGGCCCAAGCTTATATGTCAAGGACATATTCCCACAGAGGATACAGCTGGCTGATTTTAAACCTTTATGGCAAATGTTGGTCTGCTACCTAGAACTATAGATTTCTTAAATGTTCTCCTTAGATGAAATTCTTTAATAATGGATCGAATCTGCAAGTGGTGCTGTTTTTTCTTTCCTCCTGTTGCATTGCAATGTTTGTTTGTTTTTCATGTCATTACAAGGATGAAATGTAGACCGTTAAATGAATTTTAAAATTTTATTATTTTTCCCCTTCTCTTTCCTGCGGGGTGCTGTATGAAAATTTCTTGTGGCCATCACAGCTTCCAAAGGTAAGTACTTGAAATTTCTGTGTGTTTTGCACTGCAGATAAAGCGACCTTACTCCCACAGGGGGAACGTGTTCTTGGTTAAAAGACATAGAGAACACACCAAGGGCTGCACACCTATGCAAGATGAATACCTAATTCTGAAGAGTGGTATGTTTAAGATGCATAGTACTAAAATGTGTGCACTACTTCAGTAGGTTTATGTCATGATAAATCTCCCCTTTCTCTCCCGATGTACTGCAGGCAAGGATGTTGTTACATTAGCAAATTAAAGGAGCATTGGTCATAAATACCTGTGACCATCAAAATACCTTTTATAAACTGGTCAAATTAGGTACCTCGGCTTATATTCGGGACGGCTTATACTCGAGTATATACGGTAGCTTCTTTCTTCTGTTGTATTGTGTCAAATTAATAGTACAATGAGCACTCCATTTAAAGTAACACATTGGGGTACATTTACCAGTTCTGTTGTGCAACAAGGTTGTGCGAAACAGTAAGTGCCAAACAGGAGCAGTGATCATATGACAGATGTATTACAAGGTTACAGTTTCTTCCTTTGGCTGCTCTGCAACCAAATGAAACATGACCCTGATCACTTCATCTTCATCACAGTCTCATCTTCAGTAGTAAATCTGTTGCAGTTGGCTGCCCAGGAATTCAGATACACGGGTCACTAATACACTGTAAACCTGTCGAACAGACTTTGCAAAGTGAAAGGCAGCTCAATTTGCATGTGTTGCTAATTTATTATACCACCTTTCATACCATGTTTCATGTTATTAACTTATTTTAGGTGCAACATGAAACATGGTGCCATTCTGAAGCCCCCACCCCCTTACCTCAGTTGTGCAGTTCATCCCCCTGCAGCATTCTGTATATTTTTGAATTCCACTGATCCATTTGCAGGATCTTTAAATGGAAAAACTTGTAGCAGCAAGGCAGAGAAACTCAAAGGAATGGAAGTGGAACACAAGTGCATTGACATCCATTGGTTACTTTTTCCAGCTCCGTAGTCATGGGTGTAGGTGAATAGTCCACAGGAGTCTGTGCATTGCACCTGCGATGCACTGATCACAGTAGTAATGCTTTGCAGGCTCCATTGGAAAAAACAAATAAATACTATTTGCAACATGGGTGCAAAAAGTATAATTTTTTGTCTTTTTCAAAATGCGGAATACACCTTTAAAGAATTGCATTGATTGATTGATTGCAATTACAGACTTTCCTTGGACTGTAATGCTGGCAATACAGAGAATAATATGTTTGGTTAGGGGAAAAAAAACAGTAGAATAATAAGATCCAAAGAAGCCCAAGCAGCATTTGTAGGGCCCAAGGGCGGAAAAGCCTGATGATGATTCTGCATCCATTCCGGCCTTTTAAGTGTATGTCCAGCCCAATGTTCAAATCCAACACACACAATCAAAAATGTTTTTCATTAGCATTAGTGGAAGACTAGAACCCCTATGGGTTTCTATTTCTGTGCCTCTGAAAGTGAGGGAAATTATTTCTAACAAAGCCTCAGATAGTAGTATAAGCCCCTACATGGGTTCTAAGCCTTCCTCACTCTGTCCAAAATAAGACATTTTTTTATTTTTGGAACTCTGTTTTTCAAACACAGATCTTGTCTCCTTTTTGGTAATTTCACAGAGCAAAATGGACTTGCATTACTGTCATAGAAGTGCTGTCCTCTGGCATCCACATGTAGTTCTATTTCAGCCGTCATGTGTAGTATTTAAACAATAAAGGGAAAGAAGGAATGGAGTATGCCGTGTGACATTGGCTTTTACTTCCTCTAAAAATGTGTGACGTCCGTTTAATTGAAGAGAACTTTATTCCTCTGACTATTTACTATTTTATACTCACACATTGTATTTCTTTAGCAGTGCTGACTGCCCTTTGCAAATAACTATTTAGTATCCAGCATGGAAGCTTTCTTTAATGCTGAAGAAATGTGGTAGATGCGCTTCTACTCAAAATTTCAAAATTCTCTACTCAAATACTCAAAGGTTCAAAATTGTTAAAAGCCATGCTCAGATCTTTGTTGGCTTGGTTGAAAATGCTGCTACCCACATTTTTACCTTAATTTCTAAAATGTATCTCCACCTTTTTGCACATCAAAATTCTTAGTTTTTTAAAAATCTTTTAAAAGAGACCTAAAGCCCATTGCTTGCCCTTGCTACTGGCTGGGTAAAGCTCATAGGAAAAGTGCTTCTTCACCATTTTCTTCCTACATGCAGCTCAATGGTATCTGTGTGAGGAAAAGACACTGAAATGGCTGCTTCTGCCCCACACTGTTCCCTTTAAATGGCTAAATAGTATAAGAAGCCAATGACTAATTTAGTCCACCAGGATGT